GGTAATTCTGATTTCGATGGTTTGAATAACTTCTATTTCTATTATATGAATAGTTTCTATTTCTGTTGTATGATGAATTTCGTGATTGATTAATGGAATAGTGTCTTTTCCTTGGGTTTGATTGGGAACTGGATCCAGAAAGAAATTCTGTTGTATTGATATTCGATCGTGAATAATTATTTTGGTTATTTTGGCTATTCGATCGGTTATATCTATTTTGTGAGAAATTTCGTGTATTTCCTCGTTCGGGTGATCTACCTCTGTAACTTGAGTTATATGGTGATTGATTCCTTGTGTAATTTGAGTTGCTCGGAAGTGGTTTTCCTCAACTGTTTTTATTATATATATTTTTGTTTGGTAGATTTTGGTCTTTTTTCATGTTTTGATAGAATGATTTATTTGAGTCCTTGTACCGTCGTTGTACCTTGACGTATCGTCGGCAATAATTACACCATTTTTTGAAGGATGGTTTGCCTTTAAAGCTTGGATGTTTTTCGTAGATATTTAGTATTGCAGTGATTATTCAATCAGGTCTGTGTCTGATTCCTGTATGTTATTTATATGTGTAGTATTTGTTTCAATCCGATTAACATATTGTAGTTTTAGATTTTCTGTTTCTTCGAGTTTCATTGTGATTTCTGCTTGTTCTAGTTTATCTACTAATTTTTGAAAATCTATTTCAGGTTCTCGAATTGAGGAAGGATGAGATGCTACTTTTTTATAGCTATTTTCCTTAATTGAGGTGTTTAGGTCATCATCAAAATTTCTGTCATTTTTGTGTTTTTGTAATCATGTGTATTAAGTGAATATGCTTTTCGAACTAGTGTTTCGATTCGTACTGCTAATTGTTTAATTGTTTCATTTGGTAATCTGCGGAAATCGTTGCATAAAACTCTTTGATGTTGTTTGTTTCTTTCAGAATCAAACATTTTTGAAAATTCTTGTGTGAATCTTTTCCAGTCTGATTTTATTTCTATGGGTAATACTGAAAACCATTTTTGAGCTGCGCCATCTAGGGTTGTTTGTATTAATGCTGTGCGTCTATGTATCCAATTTTGATGTAGTGGCGTATTAATTGGTTCGGGTCCTATATTTAAAATTAAATTTACTGTTACTGCATTTAGATAATCTTCTACAGAATATTCAGTGTCTGTTACTGTGAATACCATTAATGGTTTATTCGATGTTATTGATGATCCACCCATGAGGTATGGATTGATAGTCATCTGTAGTGATTCTGCGGCATTTGGCATTTGTGAAAAATTTGGAAATTGATTTTTATGTGATTTCATGTTGCTGAAGGTATTATGGAAGCGGTATTTCATTTTGCATTTGTGTTGGTTGATAAGAATGCATTAACATTAGGTTTTGTGGTTGTATTGCTTGAAAAGATTGTGTGTTAAATGGGTTTTGTATATGCATTTGTTGTGGATTTTGTATATCTGGTGGGTTTTGTGGGTAAATTTTCATATTTTGAGATGGTTGAGATTGTCGCGGACTCTGTGTGCGATATTCTTTAGTATATGGTGCAAAAGTATCTGGTTGATCATAATCATCGTCATCATCAGATGATAAATAGTTTGTGTTATATGTTGAATGTTTTTTATTTTTATTTTGTTGAAAAAATGGGTAATTTTCGGTATAATCCTGTGTAAGGTTGTGGATTATCTGGAAAATTTACTGAATTGGTCGATGTTTTTGGGAGATTCTAATAATGAGAACATACGTGATTTAAATTTTGTGTTTTTTCGGGGAGGTTGATTTGTTCTTGGTTTGTGAGCATAATTATAATTGTGTTCTGCACAGGTGTTTCTTATGAATGATTTTTGTATTTTTGACGGTATTGTCATTGGTCTATACGTTTGATAATCCATATGTGAATATTTTGGAGCAACCGAAGGTTTAACGGTTGATTGTAAGGTTACCGGTGTTAGTGATGAGTTTGTATTTCTTGGTGTTGTCAGATTGGGGTGTATTGGTGAAATACTCTGATGTGTAGTTGTTGCTGTTGTTTGGACAATTTCTTCATTTATGAAATGTGATGGTGTTTGAATATTTTGTTGTGTAAGATTTCTGGTTCCATTGAGGTTTTCATTATGTATGACTGTTGAATTTAAGCTGTTATTTCGTGTATCAGGTAAAAACGTATTATAATTCAATGGTGTTGCATCAATGGTTAATGGTACTTTTTTTACATAATCTCTGTGAAAAGATATTGTACTTATTGCTTGACTCGAGATATCTTGTGGAATATTCAGAAATGCTGGATGAGACCAATCAGGGTCCCAAACGTAATCTGATTGTTCTGAAAGAACAGTGTCGTCATTGGTATTTTGAGGTCTGAAATTTTTTTCTTGCTTATGAAATTAAACCTAAATTGTGGGTGAAATAATCAATTATAAACCATGCTAAAATCTTTTCTAAATCATGTTTAGTGTTTTGTGAAACATCTTCTTTAGTAAAAGTTTTGCGAATTATATGTAGAAATGTTGAAAATGCTGTGATTTCATTTCGTACTTTTGTATGTTTGAATGTTTCGGTTGGTGATATACTTTGAACTTTGAACTATATGTGATATACTTTATACTTTGAAATATGTTTAAGTTTTCTACTTTGTTGGTGATATACTTTACACTTTGAACTGTATATATTACTGCAAAAACTTCGTTAGTGAATATGGAGTTTGCTCTTTGTGAATTTTGATATTGTATGCTTTTGATATATTCTATGAATACTTTCGAAAATTCCAGTTCAATATCGTCTGTTTGAATTACATATTTTCGATGGGTTGTAGTTGGTTTGCTGAATTCTATGGTGTAGATTCCATATTGTTGTGTTAGATTACATTTGTCTTTCAAATAATGTTCAATAATTTTCTTTTGATTTTTACATCTGGGAATTCTGCTTTGCTTGGGCTGATCCCTGGTTCAAACAAATTTACGAGTAAGTTCTTACAAAATCGTGTTTGTCCTCTATCATCGAGTGAATCTATATGAAAGGGAAAAACTGCTTCTTCATCTGGACTTTCATCACTTTGAGTGTGGCTCATTTTTTCGTTTCATGACTGTTAATATATAACTATCAATGTGTCTAATTGGTTGATTCCAATTATACAAGTGTACTGGTTTGTCTTTATATTGCTTTTATATTCTTCTTTTTCCTCTTTTTGATGAATTTGAAGTTGTTTCTGAGTTGGAAAAATATAATTGATCATGAATGGGACAATTTTTATCTATTGATTCTTTTAATTTGTAAAATTCGTATAAACTGTTGGCTTCTGATTCAGAAAATGCGTTTCTAATTTTTTGAAAATCTTTTTCGTGTGATTTGTCTTTGTTTGTTTATAATTTTTTTTTTATTGTTTGTCGTTTTGTTCTAATGTATCCAACTCTTTGTGTATGAGGAGTGATTACAAGATCGTATTTTTGGTTATCTATTTCACAATTGTGTAAAACGATTGTTGGTTTATTTCCTAAATGTTTGAATGATATAAGGTTTAGGATGAGGGATGCAAGAAATTGTTAGTTATTTCTATTTTCCTAGACTGTTAGTCCTTACGATTTTTTGATTAGCTTAACCTGGGTCTTTTTGTTCAGGGTTGGAGAGAAAAGTATATCGATTCCGGATAATGATTTTCTACTTTCTCGTGGCTAGTCTTAGTTAAGGTGCTAACTTTCCTAATCTTACTTAGGGGTAGTGATTGTGTTCAAGGGTTGGAGAACAGTAAACCGATCCACAAGGTTCAGGTATAATTAGAACGCAAGCAGTTTGTTAGATACTATTGTAAACTTACTAAGTCTAAGATCTATCCTGTGTCTGGTAAGAGGAGGATTCAAGTGAAGGATGAATAACCGAAGTTCTTCACGGTTTAGCTTAATTTGAATGGTTAGTTTTCTTTAAAAATTTCTATTAGTCCTGGGTCTTTTGAAAAGGTTGGATAGTGAATCGACGTTTGAGGTCGTTAGACACTTGCTAAGTGGGTGGGGGAGAGAAAAAATGTTCCTTTGATCCAAGGATAGGCCTTGATGATCAGGTTTTAAATTTTGTGAAATAGAAAATTCATAAAGATCCAAGGATAGGCCTTGATTATCTGATTTTTAAGTTAAGTGAATTTAAGTTTAAAATGGTTTAAATTTATTGAAAAAAAAAATTTAGTTTTTCAACGATATTACTGAGCTTATGATTGCTGTTATGTTTAGGTGATGAAGCTGGAACAACAAGATGATTTATGATTACTAACTATTTATTGTCATGCTACTAATTTTTATTTTTATTTTCAATAAGTATTTTTTTCAATTATGTTTTATAAAATAATGCAGAAATTAGGAAAACGATCTGAGATCTTTTTATCAATCGTTATTGTACATTAATAATTTTGTTTAGCGCCTGAAATGGTCATGAAGATTTACTTCAAAATTTTATGTTTGCAAATGAAAATCTTTATTCATTGCTAATGAGATTCTAAATATAAAAGTTTGTGTTGGTTTTTGCCGTACAACCAGAAAACTAAATGGTAAGTTTCTACGTAGTCGTATATCGTCTTTTGTCCGAGGTCTTCTTCTAATACCGGGTAGTTTTAGTATTGTTCGGAATATCGGCTCTGATCTATTGAGTCGCAGAGACATTTCAATTAAGTTATTATCGTGTAACATTTTGAAAATGTTTTGTCTAAATTCTAATCTATTTTTGGTTAATTCTAAGCTATAAAGGTCTTATTCGAGATTTATTGTCGCACCAGATGAGTTAGAACAAAAGTGGTTAACTCATAGAGTAATTTCGGATAGGGTACACCGTCTGCTCGTCACGCTTTTCGGCCGGATAGATTCGTGCAACTTCTTAGTCTAATACCGATCCTAATCTTACTCTTATATCTACTAGTCTCAGGGTGTTTAACTAGTCTCTGCTAGGCTCAATAGATCTAGAGTATACTGGTTTATTGCAACTGCTGAAGTTCTCTTGGAGAGGCAACTAAGTTCTAAGTTAAATTCAAATCTCTCTGGTGCTGAAATTACAAGTAATTTCAGCACTTACAAATAAGTGGGTTGTTAGTTAGATGGATTATGATTGGTTAATAATAAATTTTTTACAGTGGTAAAGTATCCAATTTATCCAATTATAAAATGTAGTTTAGATCAGGTTCCATTTTTATCTTTTCATCAACTCAACAGCTCGGAGTAATTCTCGCTGAAACTCTGAATTTCAACAACCACGCAAGTGTTGCCAATGTCGCTAAAACAATAGCTGAAGCCACTGCAGCTGAAAACACCATCAGCACAGTTTGTAGTTGGACATTAGATTGTTCTGCTGTCTCGGTTTCTCGGATTGAAACAACGGGCCTCTGCAATGAAATCAAACATTGCTGTTTCTAATAACTTGTTGGTAAAAGGAAGTTTTTGTATGATATGCGTCAAAACTTTTTTACCATTTTGTTTAAATCAGCGTTTTGGTTATTCCTAATTCAACAATCTTTCGAAGTCCAAAAACTCTGCTATTGAAATTTTTTATGCAAACTTTTTTGATGCATATATATTAGGCCAACACTTCTAATGAAAGCACAAAAAATATATATTTTTGATGATGAAGTTTTATTCTATCGTTTTTCAGCTATTGGCCATAGAATTTCAGAATACAATTTTTATTTGAGCTTTCGGAAATTGAACTAGCAAAAATTGAAATTACAAACCGAAGTTGTTGTCATGAGCTTTTGCGGCTCTGTTGTGGTGGGTATTTCTGTGGACAATGTTGCCAGAGTCTAAATTGAATTCAAACGATAAGAATTTCATCATTCGGTTTGTGTTTTTTTGTTCGGACTATCAAAGAGAAACGACAAACTATTTCAGCTAGAGTGGTTTTGTACGAAACGTTTTTTTCTTGAATGCACGCAAAAATAGAAATTACAAACCGAAGTTGTTGTCGTGAGCTTTTGCGGCTCTGTTGTGGCCGGGGTTTCTGCGGACAATGATGCCAAAGACTACAATTAGATTAAACGATAAGACTTTCATCATTGAGTTTTGTAATTTTTTGTGCCCAATTTCGAAAGGAAAAGATAAAAACTTTTTGGTAAACTTTTTCCAACACAATTTTTAAAACAGTCTGAAACAGTTTAAGCAGATTTTTTTTACCTATGAAGACTTTCCTATAGTATAGTAAATTTCATCAATTTTTTTTTTAAATCGAAAACTAGCAGCGTCAGCAATTTCTATTTTCTCAGTTTGCTGAAGCTTTTTTTTTCAAATGCACCTGACTCCGTCAAATGGGTTTAGTTAACTGATTTCATAATAACACTTGTGGGGTGCTCTTTAATAAAAAAAATGAGAACAATTAAAGAATGGAGAACAAACAATAGACGCTGTCCGGAGCTCTGCTTTTTCCGTCGAAGCTTGTGTAGCTCCTTCTGTTTGTGGTTGAGCATCAGTAGTAAGAGCAGCTATCACATTTTCACGCTGTTCGACTGCCACTGCCACTTCGTTCCAGAAGGAAACGTTCGCCGCTTTTTGTTCCAACTCAGAGTAAACCTGGGCAATTTCGGGTCCAGTCAGGAAGACGTCCAGAATGCAGGCAGCATCTTTTTTACAAATCTGATGTAAAAGTGGAATAACATAAAGAATCTAAGAAAAGTTTGATGTAAAATGGAATAAGAAAGAATTCTGAACTCTGAGATCTGAAGACTAGAAATTCGTGCTATAGAAGTTTGAAAACCTAAAATAATTATCAAATTTTGTCCACATTGTTTAGGTCAGTCGTTTCGAATAATTTGAGCTCTGCTGAAACCCTAAATTGGCAATCTTTTTCTGGAAAACTTTCGAGGCTGTTTTGTGATAATTATTTATAGTGCAATTCGCTGTCAAAATTAGCACATTTGGGAACAAAGGCGCATTAAAAAAATTTTGGGCTACTCAATTACTGTCGTTAAGTAGTACCATGGGAATCTAATTGCAAAAATTGTTAGCCAGAATGAGGGGTTGGTCCCCACCTCCGTGGCACGCTCCTACACCGAAAAAATCCGGTAAAAGTGTTATGTCGTTAGGTCAAGCTGAAAAACTTTACGGGTTATTTGAGATATTCATTTTCAGTTTGAGCAAAATCAGTTATGAACATTAAGATGTATACCGTTTCGGCTTCGATTCTTTCGGCTTCAGTGGGGAAGTTTGCTTCATATTGGGGTACAAGACCCTTTCCATGTTCAGTGTCGTTTTCAATCTGAACATAGTATTCATAGACTGAAAATATCCAGGCCGATTTATTGGCTTTCCAGGCTTCTCCAAACTGCTCGTGAATGACGCTTGGCGTTGAGTTGGCTGGCAAAATGTTTCGATCTAAAATTGAAACGGGTATGCATTTTTCACTGAATTTACTCCCAAAACGTTTTCCAGTTGGCCCAAATAAAGCTATTTGTTCAATTAACGCTGGATCTGATCCGCTCTTTGATATTGAAAAAAGCATATCTGAGCTTAATGGAACCAGTTTAAAACAAGTATTTATATCCAGTTATAATATTGATAAAACGATGTCTATAAAATACTTCTTACTAACCAGTGATGATTTATAGTTTCAGCCAGAAGTGAGTAAAATTAACTTACCACATATTTGCTCTTCCTCATAAAAATTCTTGATATCTAGCCTCGCAAATACAAGTTTAGACTAGATCTATTGAGACTAGGAGATATCAGAGTAAGAATAAGATTGGTATTTGACTAAGAAGTTGCACGAATCTATCCGTCCGAAAATAAGATAGCTTTACGAACAGACAGTGTACTTTATCTGAAATTACTCTATGAGTGAGCCACCCCGGACTTAACCTCATCTGGTGCGACCAAGACTCTCAAACATATCTCTCCGCGATACATTTAGACTTAGCAAATACAAAACAGAAATAAGATCAAAAACACCACAAAATTTTAAACAGTATTGAAAATTTATTGAGCTTGTCTCCACGTCTCAATAAGTCTAATCAATTTAACCAAGTGATAAAGCTAACACTAGGCCAAAATTCGAACAACTGACCGACCTTCTACATCGTGAAAAGAAAAAGCAGACTACAACGATTATTACTCTTTAAAATTATCAATGCAGTAAAAATTGAAACAAAATACTTGTGCAGTAAGATTCATTTCCAACCTATATATCTCTCAAGGAAATATAACCAGTAATATATAAAACCACAACGACTAATCTAAAACTACAAAATTCTTTTTTTTTTTCAAAATCTGCAGTAACTATAAAAAAAACATGAGCGCTCAATCATTAGCTTAGACCGCTCGGCCAATTGGCAAAATGAGCTTGTCTTTATATGCATTTCTATTCTAGCTGATATTTGCGTTGCAGCATCAACCGTCCCCGAAGAAGGAAGAACCGGAGCGAGCTTAACAGTCGGCCAAGTAAGTTCACGCGTTGCAGTAATAACAAAGGCGGCTCGTGCGCAACCGTTCTGTTCAAATTTTAGCTTAACTATTGATTCGGCCAAGAGGGTAGTACCCACGTGGACTATCCGGCTCAATGACTCATACAAAATTGCCTGTTTCAAGAGTTAAGTTAGACTGAGTGTGCAACTTGACTAGCTTAATCAGTAAGGAAACATATTCGCGAAGCCAACGAGACCAAATACTGTTAGCATACGACTGCGCTTGCACGTACCTTTTCTTATATTCAAAGTTTTCCCAGGTAAAAGCGAAGGAAAGCTTGTGGCATGTTGTCCAAGTAAAATGGGGTTTGGGGTTATTGCTTGGGATTAAGGCGAAGGAAAGCTTGTGGCATGTTGTCCAAGTAAAATGGGGTTTGGGATTAGAAGTCACAATCAATATGTCATCAAGATAAGCAAAATTGTTTTCGCAATTTGTTAGTGTAAGACCAATAGCGTTTTAGAATTCAACTGGCATATCCGTGAGGCCATGAAATCCCGTTTGGAAAAGTTACTGTGTGAATGTGAATTGGTACTAACGGGAGTGATTGTCCTCGAATTCAAAGCCTGCTCAACTAAGCAGAGTGTGGTTCGTAACACCTCTTCAATAACTGGCCTACTGCCTAGTATATTGTAAAGCATGCGCCTCACGCTTCAGACAAGGCGCTCCCAGGAGCCGCCATGACGAGGTGCGCCTGGCGGGTTAAGTTTACAAGCAACACCTTTGTGTGCAAAAATGGTGGGAGCCATGCCGGTCCAGTTCTTGATAGAGGCTAGTAATTCCTTTTCCGCACCAACGAAGTTCGTGCTGTTATCCGACCAGATCGTGCTTGGTTTACCACGACGCGCAATGAACCGTTCAATACCCATGACACAAGAAATATTGTCCAGAGATGGTACAATCTCAAGGTGTATAGCCCTGGTGGTGAAGCAAGTGAAAAAAAGCGGTCCAAAGTAATCTACACCCGTATGATTGAAGGCTGGTTGCTTATATCCGAGTCTTTCGACCGGTAAATTGGATCAAATTGGCTGAATGGTACAAGCTTTGGGCTTATGGCATGTTACATAATGATTTTCGATAGACAGAAGTAGTTCACGCAACCAAGGTGTTGCATATTTAATATTTGAAACGAAGCGCACTTAAAATAAGCTTTGATGAAAATGCTCGTGGTGGAGGCTGTGGGCCAACAAGTGAACTAGAGTCTGATGGGCGTCGAGTAAATTTGGGTGCTTTGTATCAAACTCGGTATTCACTAAGCGATCAATCCGGTCGGTGGAACGAATGATACCAGCGGGAACGATAAAAGGAGAATACGTGGCAATCTCACTACTGTTCTTACTGGTTTGCCAGCGGTGAGTGTTTTCAAGTCAACCGGGAAGGAATCCATGTGAGCATTTATTTGTTTTCTTCAATATCAACTTCTGTGGGGTCGGTGAACCTTATATTCTTGCCGCGAAAAAGCTTATGCGAAGACAGCATCCTCAACATAAACGCGACAACTTTTTTAGACCTCGTAAAGGAAGTAAACTTTTCCCAATTGAACCCGTGTGCGAGATTTTTGATGGATATGACATCAGTGACGAAGGATGACGATGTCTTCAAGCAATTATCGACATCACAAGAAGAAACCTCCAAAAAAATTTCATTGATCACACGTTCGTCGGGTATAAACGGCTAATCAGTGGTCCTGAGAAAGCTCGGACCATTAAGCCAGCTGCTATTTTTGAGGGCTTCCGAAGAACTCCCCCGGGTACCGGTATCAGCCAGATTACCCCCACTCAAACACGGTGCCACTCATCAATAGTGGTCGATTCGAGGATTTTGACGACACGGTTAGCGACGAATACGGGTAAAATTTTATGAGAGTTTAGCCACTGCAAAACGTTAGTACTATCTGTCCACATGTAGACATTATTGTTGTTAATGTTCAGCGCTTTCAGTTTATCGTCTATCAGACGTGTGGCAAGTCGACAAGCAGCTTGAAGCACTAGCTTACGTATAGATCGCGCTTTCATCGGCGCGACGCGAGCTTCACCAAAGATGAAGGATTTTTGAGTTTTTTGCGAGCTCGAAAGTTGCGCACGCAAAAACTAACAGCACAGAAAACAGCGTGCGAGCTATCACCGTACATGTGAAGCTCAATTGGATCGACAGGCTCTAAGAAATAAAAGCGGGGAAAAGTCAGTTAAGCTAAGAGTGGGAGACTGGAGTGCCATTCGAGAAACTTAATTCTGATGTCTTCCTGTAGTTCGTCATCCCAACTTTTGCCTATAATTTTTCAATTATTTTCAGGCAAAAGAGGGGCCCTAACTGTGTATGGAGCTACTAACCCAACAGGTTCAAACACAGAAGAGACAAAACTCAAGACGGTTCGTTAAGTTTTTGCCTCTTCGAATGAACGATCAACACCTCTGCTGACAACCAATGTTTGCTTCACATGGTCTCATTTAAGACCTCAGCCAAGTGATGATTTTTCTGCACCGTTACACTTTCCTTTTAAGTGATGTAAAATGTGTTTCACATACCTCGGGACTCATTGCTAAATTGTTTTCATTGGCATTACTGACAAAGTTAGTCAAATTAAATACGCTCAACTGAAACAACAAAACCATTTCACAGCTTATCGTAGTTGCAAGGGTAACGTCCTCAAACAACACCAAATAATCGTCCATTTAAAATTTCCCGCTTGCGATTGATGCGGCCTCAGGTTTCGAAGTCCAAAAATTCTGCTATTGAAAATTTCTGTGCAATCGTTTTTGATACTTATATTAGCCGTACCAAACATTTCTCACAATTTCACGTCTGATCATACAATTGAAATGGCTACTGGACTTTCGGTACATTAGCTTAGACCAATGACCAATTGGCAAAAATGAGCTTCTTTTTATATGCATTTCTATTCTAGCTGATATTTGCGTTGCAACATCGTCCGCCCCTGAAGAAGGAATAATCGGAGCGAGCTTAACGGTCGGCCAAGTAAATTCACGCGTTGCAGTAATAACAAAGGTGGCTTGTGCGCAACCGTTCTGTTCAAAGTTTAGCTTAATGATTGATTCGGGGGCGAGAGGGTAGTACCCACGTGAAATATCGGCTCAATGACCCATACGAGATTGCCTGTTTTAGGAGTGAAGGTACACTGAGTGTGCAACTTGACCAGCTTATTCAGTGATGAAACTTATTCGCGAAGCTAACAAGACCAAATACTGTTAGCTTACGACTGCCCTTGCACGTACCTTTTCTTATGGTCAATGTGTTCCACAGGTAAAAGCGAAGGAAAGCTTGTGGCATGCTGTCCAAGTAAAATGTGGTTTGGGGTTAAGGGTTTTAACTCATGTGAAGTGGTACTAACAGGAGTGATTGTCCTCGATTTCAAAGCCCGCTCAACTAAGCAAAGTGTGATTCCTAACATCTCTTCCATAACTAGCCTACTGCCTGGTATATCGTAAAGCACGCGCTTCACGCTTCGGACAAGGAGCCGCCATGATGAGGTGTGCCTGGCGGGTTAAATTTACAAGCAACACCTTTGTGTGCAAAAGTGGTCGCAGCCAAGCAGATCCAGTTCTTGATAGAGGCAAGTAATTCTTTTTCCGCACCAACGAAGTTCGTGCCGTTATCCGACCAGATTGTGCTTGGTGTACCACGACGAGCAATCAGCCGTTCAATGCCCATGACTCAAAAACTAGTGTCCAGAGATGGTACAATCTCGAGGTGTATAACCGTGGTGGTGCAGCAAGAAAAAGAGATCCCCATCTTTTTTCAGTGCTACTGCGAACTGGAAAAAAAGCGGTCGAAATAATCTACACCCGTATGATTAATGGCTGGTTGCTAACATCCGAGGCGTATCGAAACGAGTAATCTTGGGTACTTTGTATCAAACTCGGGTTTCACTAAGCGATCAATACGGTCGGTGGAACGAA